GGCTGCCCAGGGAAGGGGTCGAGTCCCCACCCCTGGGGGGATTTAACAGCCGGGCAGAGGTGGTGCTGAGGGCCAGGGTTTGGGGGTGGGATGGCAGGGGTAGGGGAACGGTTGGGCTGAGGGATCTGAAAGGGCTTTTCCAACCTAAACGATTCTGTGATTCTATAACTTCACCTATGGGCAAGGCCTCAAAGAGTTTTGCTCTTGGTGACATCCAAAGCACTGACCCGAGCAAAACCAGAGATGCTCAGGATCTGCTTAAAGATCACAGCGCAGCTTCACAGAGAAAGGCAGCACGCGCCGGTGTTCCATGGAACACAGCTGAGTAGCAGCGTAACTTGAATCCCAAGTAATTGCTCTGCAGTTTCTGGAGTAAGCTGTGGCCCGACGACACTCTCAGCAGACACTCAAATTCTGGAATGGGCCCCTTTGCAAATAAAAGCGGAGAGCCCTGCATACATCAGAGCTACGCAGGCCACCATTCCCTTGGCTTCCACCAGATTTGGAAAAGAATTAGTTCTTCGTTAATTAAGAAAATGCAAGAAAAAGACTAACCCCACGGAAAGGCAACCTCCCTGTGTCTCTTTAAGAAAATGGTGTAGGCAGGTCCCACATTGGAGCTGGTGGCCCATCCCTCCTTGGAGCTGATAAACTACTTTTAAAGGGAAATCTCATTATCGAGTGCTTGTAAGAAACCAAGGCCCTGACTGGAGGTAAAGCATTTAAAATGCCCACAACAGAACCCCAAGAGAAAGTCCCCACACGCTAATAGTAGACATGAGGAAGGAAGGGGTTATTCTAAGCACTCCATAGCTATATTCACCGGCTGTGATTTCATATTCAGTCTTTATACACTGCTCAGGTAGGAGATAATTATAGATCTAGTAAAATGACTGTACATTCAATGCTTCCTGTAACACAGCATAAGGTTTTAACCACGCATCTTCACAAAACCGTGAGAATGAAAAGCAATCCAAAACCAGGAACATGCTAATTAAGGTACAGGGAAGAAACGTCCAATTGTCTGTAAGGAGAGTAAGTAGAAGGAAATCACATTCTTTGGCAGTATCAAGCTTCAGAGTCTTAAGGGAAAGAAGTCACAAGGCTAGAGGTGTTCTAGCTTGGGAAAAAAAAAAAATAATAGGATAGCATTCTCCCTCCTCCTTTTACCCTTAAAGTAAGGCAGAGGCAGCATCATCATACCGAAGATGGAGCCTCTCTTCTTTCTATTAAGTTATTGGAGAGTCACAAAATCGTTTGGGTTGGAAAAGCCCTTTCAGATCCCCCAGCCCAACCGCTCTCCTACCCCTGCCATCCCACCCCCAAACCCTGGCCCTCAGCACCTCGGCTGCCCGGCTTTTAAATCCCCCCAGGGATGGGGACTCGACCCCTTCCATGCCCACAACAGAACCCCAAGAGAAAGTCCCCACACGCTAATAGTAGACATGAGGAAGGAAGGGGTTATTCTAAGCACTCCATAGCTATATTCACCGGCTGTGATTTCATATTCAGTCTTTATACACTGCTCAGGTAGGAGATAATTATAGATCTAGTAAAATGACTGTACATTCAATGCTTCCTGTAACACAGCATAAGGTTTTAACCACGCATCTTCACAAAACCGTGAGAATGAAAAGCAATCCAAAACCAGGAACATGCTAATTAAGGTACAGGGAAGAAACGTCCAATTGTCTGTAAGGAGAGTAAGTAGAAGGAAATCACATTCTTTGGCAGTATCAAGCTTCAGAGTCTTAAGGTAAAGAAGTCACAAGGCTAGAGGTGTTCTAGCTTGGGAAAAAAAAAAAAATAATAGGATAGCATTCTCCCTCCTCCTTTTAGCCTTAAAGTAAGGCAGAGGCAGCATCATCGTACAGAAGATGGAGCCTCTCTTCTTTCTATTAAGTTATTGGAGACTCACAGAATCATTTGGGTTGGCAAAGCCCTTTCAGATCGTCAAGCCCAACCGTTCCCCTACCCCTGCCATCCCACCCCCAAACCCTGGCCCTCAGC